TTTGGAGCTCAGAATAAAAATAAGGGTATTCAAGTTATGATAAAAATTCCAAACTATTCATTGTTCTAGTGAGAGTAGACCGAAAAACTATTCTTTTTTTGGAATACCAAAAAATTCCAAACTTAGGGTGTGACTAAATGTTTACACTAAATTACAAGCTTTAGGCACTTTCAGGATTTCATGAGTCTAACATATTCAGAGTTTTTTGTTGAAACTTTTGGATTTATGGCTCTAAGAGGTCCAAATCTACAAGTTTCTTCCCTGTACACTCTTCTTGATTGACAGTTCTATGAGGCCTAAATAAAGTGAGATTTCATTTGAATTTTAAGGCCACACTTAGATCAAGTAGCCAAAAAATTTGTTCATCAAGTAGTAAATAAAATTTCACTGTTGAATTTTGAATCTTGTCCATAATTTGATTAAGAGACAATTAAATTGCATTTGATTTATTTTTTCTTGTTTACTACTTTTAGCATTATTTGAATGTAAAGGACATTTTCAATGAAATCGTGATAAGAAAGATTGTTTTCATGTGAAGAACTGACCCCGAACACATTGCATCATCATTGCTGAACCATTATCCATAGATTACTAAAATTTAGATATAAATCTTTGCAAAAAAATAGATAACAATTTAGGAATAGAGTGGTAAAAAGATAATGACTCCATGGTGATTAGCCATTTGATAAAGGCTTAATTTATAGAGAAATTTGAGTTATGCCCTTCCCTAGTTTTCATTGTTATGCAATAGTAAAATCTGAAATAAGTTGAAAATTCAAATACTTAGAAATTGATCTAATTTATTACTGCCTAATTTAGCTTTCCTCTATGTCTGAAACAATAAATTCAACCATTAAGCTTTCATGTTTGTATCAAATGTTTTTAATCTAGCACATATAATATGTAACTATGGTCAGAGAATCAATTATTTAATGTTATGATCATGACAAACCTGCTAATTTTTGACCCCATATTAAGATCAAGGAGGGGTAGAATAGATTTCATTTTTTCTAATTAGGTGTTATAATCTATGAAGTTCATAGTTTGTCTTCAGCAATCAATCAATTTTATAATAGTTTGGCTTACTACCTACGTCCACTCTCTAAGAATGATTTTATTCTTGAGTTACACTACTTGTATTATCCGGTAACAATCACTGATTATAAAACAACTCCCACAAAGATTCACCAAGAATCAGAATTCTAGATTTACAACTCTAGGCAGCCACTGCACCTCTATTTCACTAAGATAACTCAAACTCACAATAGTGACACTATTAAGAAGACTAACTCTAAAATAGATAATATAAAATATCATCATGGGTGTTCTTTGAAAGATGAGTGTGACTTTTAGATTTTTCTAGAGTAAAGGCAACAAATCCAGCTTTTAATGCTTCTAATTCCTATGAGTGCTATTGCTGTCTATTGATGGAGTATGTTTGTCTAACAAAGGAGATGACTAACTTCTAAGGAGCTCAACATTGAATGCTCGAGTAAATGCAGCTTTTTTGGCTTCAGCTACCTCTTACTTCTTTGAGATTTCTCATGAATTCTTCATGAAAAATAACAACACTCAAGAGCTCAAAAAAGTCATTGTGAGCTAGACATAAGTATGATAATCTGTCTTTGTATTCGAAATATCTATATTTATTAGTCTATCATCTAGAAAAAGTCTCCCATATCTTTGAGATCCTCAACATCTGTTCTTATTGGAAGAATCACAAATTCGAGCAAGTGGAAGATCTAATATGATATGTTTGATAATTTATTCAGATATCTTGTTTGAAAACATTAAGTATAACATTCATATTCCTTTCATAATGGTTCAAAACTGATTTGATAAGCATTGCATAAAGTTGTGTCGATCCGATTGATGCATCTTTGATTAAAAAATTTAATTTAGTGTGCATATCAATCAGTGCATGATATATTTCATTTTCACCTATATGTATGAAATTCATAATTCTATATGGACAATGAATTATGTACATAATCCAATATACACAACTTGATTTTCAGCAATAATTTCAATGATACTCAGAAAAATATATCAAATAAATATGCAATCTCAATTCCTTGAAACATCTAGATATTAAGCATCTAGAAGAAAGCTCCACTATCATGAACACTTCAAGTTTCATACCATACACATACTTTGCTTCATGTAATCTGGTGGATTCAAATGTGCTGGTATTTACCTTTGTTCACTATCACATTCAGCAAATATAGACACATTCCAATATACCATGTAATATGATAATTCTAGCATGATAAAAGTAAGCATTTGGTAGTTTTGACATTACTGTGAAAATGTAAGTTCAAGAGATGATTATCAAAGTATACAATAATGCTGTATCGATCAGAATATAAATGTTTTCTTATTCTAACATCATGTATGTCATAATTAAAGATATGATTTGATCTTGTTAAACTTTGTGTTTATTTGTCTACCATCAAAACTATGTTTCAACAAAACACACATAAGAAAAATTAATATATTGAATTATGATAATTACTCATTATAGAAAATATATGATTGAATGATCTTTTATAAATAAACACAAATTGAAAATAAATTTCAGGAAGATTCCATAGTGTTAAATATCCAAAACTCAAAGAATAGGCATATAATTCAGAATTCCAAAGTCTAGTTGATTTTGCTGCTTGATGTTATTACTTTATATATTACTATGAAAGTTGCTAATATTTTTAGAAACTGCCATTAATGTATAGATTTGAAAATCAAGAATTATCCAACATGGTTTGAATAAGTTCAAATGAAAGATAATTACATTATTTGAAAGTATATTATCAATTTTGTTTTAACAAGCATATATTCTTATCAAACTTGTTTGAATTGATTAGTTTTGAGTATAAACATTTATCCTTAATTGTTACACATTGATTATTGTACATTTACATTTCTAACTAATTTATATTTTTATGTTGACTTGTGATGAAAAATCAAAGAGGTTTTTGAATCTAAATTCGCTATAAATTCAGCACCTTTTCAAATGTGAATTAGTCATAACTTCTATATCATCTCGACAATTCTTCTAACACCTTTTCTAAGAAAATATGTGAGAATTTGAGTAATCTTTGTAACTTCATCAATTGTCAAGAAGGTAACTAATCAAGGAGCAAAACTTGATTAAAATCAGACCATCCTCACCTTGATTGCAATGCCATGCCTTTAGCATTCCACTAGCTTCCTCACATAAGGACTATGATATCAAGTATAATTCAATTTCATCTTCATTCTATTTTCAGAAGCACTCAATATTAGTTCCTATATCCAAAATAAATCATGATCAAATCTTTCTTTATCTTTCTTATAAAAATATATGATTAAATTTCTATTTAAACATTCAAGGGAGCTAATCTTAGTGGTGGGCCCATAGAGACATGAATATAGAAGAAACGTTTTAAATGATATTTTATACAAACTTTGCCTAATAATCAATGGGTATTTTATTACTAATTAACTGGTTTACTGAAAATCAAGAACAATACATTTTTTAAAAGATAACGTAGATGGAAGGCCAAACCACCAAAAAAAATAGTGTTTTAATTTAAATCTAAAATAAGTATTATACTTAGGATTTGATAAATGAGATTGAAGATCTTAGAAGAGTTGATAAGAGTCAAAATTGGGATCTGATCAATTAATTTTTTACTCTAGATCTAAGTGCAACTTAAAATTCAATTAGTTTCTGAGCCAACCTCAATACATATGAATGAATTTCTTTAAATAGATCATTCAACAACCAACACCTTAGATAATAACATAGAAGGTTGTTTAATTATCTATATTTAATAAATACAATATTATTTTGACATTTGATTTGGATGATAAGGAATTTAGTTAAGTATCAAGTTGTGATTCAAGAAAGGAGATATGAGATAGATTACATATTATTTATCTTGGACCACTTAGGTTAGGGAGACTAAGATATACTAGCTAGTTCACAAGTATGAATTATTTACCATCAATTAGAATGAAAGAATCTCAAGAATAATTAGTAGATTGGTGGTTGTCATCAATGTCTGAAATTTTTGGAAAGAATTACCTTACATTTTGAGATGAATAGAAATATCATGATGTCCCTAAACCTCTCTTGGATACCCAAAAATTGGCACTAAAGGGAAGCCTAGGACCTCACAAATTTATCTCTTGACATTTTTTTAGTACCTTTGTTGACATATGAGCTGCAACTAGGAAGCTATGCTGAAAATATAGAAAAGCTAAACTTGAAATAAGTTGTCCTAAAATCCAAGGATGTTAAGGATGAAGAGCAGATTTAAGGAGATGAGGAATATCTTAAAGAAATAGGAAGTATGATTAATAAGCTGAATTGCTTTATAAAAAGGCTCTGAAATTATCTTCTATTGCAACTAAAAAATTTAAAAATGAGTTGACTTATTTAGAAAACTAGGTCATTTGAAGGCCTATCACCCAAGACTCAAAATTTAACAAAAAGGAGAGAAAAATGATGATAACTTGGAGTAATGAACATGATTCCTCATCAAAACCTAAGAAAATGAAGCAAATGTTTGATTTGCTGAAAATTAATTTGAGGTAAAAGATTTATCCATTGATGAAATGTCAATAAAAGAATTGAATCAATTCCTTTGAATCTATTGGTGTTGGATTAGATTTTGTTAAATTTGATACGAGAATAATATTTTCAAAGAAATTTAAATATGTTTCTAGAAAGTTATAAAATAAATAGAAATATATAGAAATTGAGAAATAAAAACTTTATGATTTTTCGTAGGAAAATATTGAACTTAGGTCACAATTGGATAAGATTAACAAAGAAACTCTTGTTGTTGACAATTAGGATATGAAATCTTTCCATAAAGAAAGTGAGGAAATGAAGACCTACTAGCAAAAATTTAATAGTTGTCAAATCAAAATATATTAGTTTATTAAAACCACATTTAGGCAAAATAAATTGAGAGGGAATTGAGTTTTTTAGACCACTAGGAGAAAAGGAAATGAAGATTGAAAAAAAAACTATTAGGTACAATAAAAATTTCACTATTATTGATGCCTTTTGCTTCAATATTACAAGTGAAAATTTATTAATTCTACTAAAAGTTATTTATATATATCACAAATTTACATCAAATATTTAATGTGTTCAATATGATATCATAGTAGTTATATTTATTGATTTCATAATATTATGATTAAAGATCGAATCCAAGGTGTTAATCCTTGAGATCTAGAGATATCTTCATGATATGATCATTTGATTGTTGATTGACGTGACTCAGTCGTTGTATGTTAAATCACGCAAATTTAAAATTTATAAAACTAGAAAATACGAATTTTCGGATATTTAGAAGTATTTCAAAATAAATAGATCAATTATAATTCAATAAAAATCTCAAAAATAGTGGTAATTTTCCAGGTCGATCACAGGGATGTAATATAATATCTGGTAATTATTCAGAATTTTTCTCAATGAGTACGATTTTCTTACGAATTTTATACTAGGAAATAAAAAGGAAATATATTTAAAATTCACGAAAAAAAAGGAAATAAGGGTGCGGACGTCAGGATGACGTCAGCGCCCGGCGAACGCGAATCAGGCGGAAACAGAGTTCCGCCCGGCGATTCTTACGTAGGCGATTACAGACGACTCAATTAATCAAATTAAGATCTGTAAAAGCCGGAAGAATCGTAGTTGAACGAAGTATAGTTTGGTAAATAAAAATCAACAAAGTATCACTAAATGAAGCGTAAATTAAATTGAAAGCAGGAAAACAGAGTTCCGGCGTCGCGACGGCGATGCGTCGGCGATGCACCGGAATCCTGAGCGTTCGGGAGGATCGTCGTGCAGTGTCCACGGCCTCGAAGGCTCTCCTTGGACAAAGACGACGTGGGCAATCTCTAGATAAAGCAGGAAAACAGAGTTCCGGCGTCGCGACGGCGACGCGTCGGCGATGCACCGGAATCCTGAGCGTTCGGGAGGGTCGTCGTGCAGTGTCCACGGCCTCGAAGGCTCTCCTTGGACAAAGACGACGTGGGCAATCTCTAGATCTTCTCGCGAAGTCTAGAGACCAATGAAGTGGGTCGTCGAATCGTCTCCGGCGGCTGTCACCCGGCGGAGCGGAAAAACGGCGACTTTGCGGCTCTCCGGCGGCTGTCACCCGACGGAGAGGGGCTGGATGGAGGTGAGGCGCGTGTTAGGGAGCTTCATCCTCAGGTCCGCGCAGCAAGAGGAGGCTCTTCATCGCATCTGGTACGCTCTCAGGAGGTGGCGACTGGTCTCCCGGCGGATCGTCCTCTTCCCGACGACGGCTTGTTCGTCGATCAATCGGAGATGATTTACTCGATGGATTGCGATCCTTTTATCGCGAATCGTTCAGAAATTTTAGTAGCAATGCTCCGCGAATCGCGTTGACGAGATTTTCGCCGATGATCCAGCGATTCCGGTTGCTTAATCCTTCACCGGCGATCTGTAGGAAAGTCGCGATAATCAGTTAAAAATATATGAATTTTGACTCTGGGAGGATTCGAACCCGCGGCGGTCGGGTGCGCCTTACAAGGTGGATTTAGTCCCACATCGGTTGTGCGCGGATTATTTGGGCGATTATATAGTAAAGTTAGCTTTCCAGGCAAAGTCCTCTCGCGTGTACGACCACTCCTTGCCCCACAGCCAGCTGACTACCGGTGACGTGGAAGGGGAGTGGCGCACACGTGCCCCTATCGATCTAAGCAAGCCGCTAGTGCCCCTGCTCGCGGCTACTCCCCGACTGCGCTTCCGACCCGCTTGCGGGCCCGGCTGGCCGGCGGATCTCCCATTTTGCAATATTTTTATTTTTATTTCTTGTTCTTCATTTATCTCAAAACTAAGACTGTAAAAATCGTATAACATCACATAATTACCCAAAAATTCACGTTAATCAACTGAAAACCACTTTTCATGCTTTAACACAAATATAAGTCTATTTATCATGAGTTAAGGCTAAAACTATATTATTTACTAATTATTAACTCATGATAATGAAGACTTATCATTGATCAATATCTATCAAGGAAACATCATTTGATAATAAGACATATATATATATATATATGATTAAATTGATATGCTAACTTGTGATCATGATATTATCTTTGCTCACAGATTTAACTAACCTTGAAAAAATGTAACATTTAGCCTTAGTAAATGAACTTAGATGATTTTTTATATTCTCACATGGATAAGTCATCAAAGAGTTTAAAAAATAAAAAGCACAAACAAGTCTCAAATTCAGCATCTAGATAGTGACACGCCATCAGCTTACATAAATGAAAACTCAACAAGAATGTGATTATTTGATCAATTTCAGAAGTTCATTTCAAATTTCAAATCAAATGGACAAGATAATAGAAAGATTTGAAACATAAAAAATGCCAAAGGTTATTATTGTACATTTCAAAAGCTGGCTATTTTTGAAAAAAATTCTTAACTGTTTTAGACCCAATCAAAGTGAGAAACTGTCAAAAGACAATTGCAAATAAATAAGGAGAGATTTGAGAAATAGAGTATGACTCTCTAAGTGAATATCTAAGCGATAAATTAAAGCTTTACCTACTAAACACATTAATGACAAATAGAAAGCTAGATCTTGATCTTAGTCAGATTTTGACAACTCAAATAACATCTGACTTGAAGAAAAATACTATTCATCAAGCCCTAACATAGGACACATGCACATGACAGCACAACAAGCACATGGCAGCATCGTACACTCATATGGTGGGACAACAACAATGCACATCATTACAATAGGGGCACATGACAATGATACATGGGCATAAGTCACCATGATATGGCAACCAAAGACCAAGGAAGCTATGATGCCATGACCATGACATCATCTAGTGATTAGGTAGTTAATCTCATATTAAAAGTGGGATTAACCACCCCATCGGTCCTATCTATATGAAGGATCTTGCCTCATGTATGAATTACCCTCAAGTTAAGATTAACCTCTTTAGTAATGAAATGTGAGGGCTGGATGGGGACTAGTTCACCCAATACCTAACAAGGATTACATATGGAGTTGCAAGTATCATTGTTATAGTTGATGAATGTTGTTAGTATCAAAAGTAGTCCAAACATGGGGTCAAGGACCCTTTCTATAGACATTACCCATGGGGTGGTTAGTCCCAATTTCAATATGAGATTAATTATTTAATCAGCAGAAGACACCATGCTTGCAATGGCATCAACTTCTCTAGTCATCATATCATGATGACATGTGCTTGTGCCTCACTATTAAGTTCCTATACTATGATGGCAAGTGTTGTTATTGTGTTGTTGTGGGTGTGCACTATGTTGTTATTCATGTGCATCATGTTGTTCTATGTACATGCTATGTCACCAAGTGCTCTTGTCACATCATGTATGTCTACCATGTGCAATGTGTTATTTCTGAGATATGTCATCCCTGTTAGATGTCATCGAGTATGGTAACCTCTAATCGATTCTTCAAACTACCAAAGTCCACATCTTCATACCAAATGACTACCTCACACATTTGTCCTATCTACTTTATGAGGTAGAATGTTTTTACGATGTCGTCTTTGGTGTTGGTCTACATCATAAGTGGTAGCTAATGTGGTCGGTTCATCTCTAGGTCATCTTCGTTGACATTGTATGTTTTGAACAGTGAGACATAGAAGATTGGATGCACTAGGAGATGTTATGAGAGTTGTAACTAGTAAACTAAATGTCTTATGTGTGCCACAATTTAAAATGAGCTATTATATTGGGGTGTCAATTTATTGTGGTGCTTCTACCTTTGGAGATGTGTGTTGTGGATATTGATAACACATGAATAATGTGTTGGAATACATCTTAATTTAGTTAATTTTGTATTTATATGATATTATTAATATGTTATTTAAATTAATAAATATGATTTTTAACATGTTTCAAGATATAGTAGTATTTCAAATATTTTTTAGAATTTTATGAGATTAATCTCCTCATACACATTTGATTGTCTGATTAAACAAGATTATTTTATACATTGAATATGCTTTTGTGATTTTTCTAATCATTTTCCAGTGAGTTTAAGAATTTGTCTAAGGATGTAGCCACTTCATCAACGGCTGTGATACAACATCGCAAATTGTTACTCAGGGGAGTAAGAAGGCAGCCTTTTGGTGGGAGAAGGATTTCACGGCTCAAGAGAGAGCACATGAGAAGGGAGTCTATCAATCTGACGGAGTGTGGCCTTCAGAGGGATGAAGCCACCAGAACCTTCGAGCAGCTTCTCTCGCATACGCGAGAGGTGAGTGAGAGAGGAGAGAGAGGGAACACCACCCTATATAATTTGGGAAAATTCAATGTCACAAACAACTTTCGATTAAGGAAACCTTTGGCAATTTAGCCAGCCTAGAGGGTTTAGGATTTTTCAAGCTACACATTGTGTCAATGCAAGTGTGTCAATTCTAGAGTGCTCCTCATCTCGCCTAAACAAGGTTTCTACCATTGTTTCGAGTGAACGCCTCTTCTTGGCAAAAGTGAGGAAGGAGGAGTTGTGACACTACATTAGTTTCAAGATGAAGAAAATTCTATTTAGTTTAGATTAGATTTTAGTTAGGAATTTAGGAGTAGAAGTCATGAACAATTGATTGTCATTCTTTCACTAGCCAGATTTGAGAAATCAAATCTAGATTCAACATTCTCCCTTCTTTTGTCTTTCTAGTCTATGCCCCCTCATTTTCTTTTCCATTATATCCTTCATTAAAACAAGCATTGAATAGTAAGCCTCAAATTTCTTGAGGAGACAACTTGAATTGCTATTATCTATGACTATTTCACAAATCTAATTAGAACATAACTCATAATATTTTTTATTGAAGAGAGTAAGGACTAACAACACTTGTAGAAAATCTAATTCATTAGATATATGCACAATAGTACTTAGTTGCCCATGTCATACATGACTTTCTTTAGTGGCGATCTACATTATCCTTCATCCACTGTGCTGCCTATACGAATGACTTATAGGCTTCCTCTATAATATCCTATCATTACTTTGTAAAATTATAAGTGGCTTGTAGGTATCTTAGTCTTCATTTCTTGACAACCTCTAGTGACATCAAGGGTTGGTGACCCCTGGCCGACTTTAATAGTAGGTTTCTCATAGACATATCATTAGATGTTGTGGGCAAATTAAGTAATGTCTAACAACTTGACTCAATTATGTTGACACGCCATTACATAGTGACATAAGTATTTCTCAAGTATGCCCTTGATGTGCTTTGTTTGCCCATCTAATTATGATGAAAAATATTGAAAAAGTTGAGCTCAATTCTAAGTAGAGGGAAGAAGACTATTTAGAAGTATCCCAAGAAGTGTGGATGTTGGTTTGGGATGATGGCCTATGATATGTCCAACAATTTGATAATATGTGTGAGGAAAAAGTCCACCACCTCTTCTACTTGGTAGTTAGAACACGTTAGAAAAATAGTCGACCCACCACTAGAATTGCATCATGGTCATTGATCTTAGGGAGAGGCTCTAAGATTCTCACCATATTCTGCCATTTCACTTTATCTTGTTTGCAAATAAGATATGATCGAACATGTCTTTATGCCCCCCTCAATATTAGGCTAAAAGTAAATGTATGCAAGAAGAGACAGCACATGTTGATGTTTTGAGCAGCTCTAGTATAATGTTGTTGTACATCAGGATGGGGGCTAATAAGTTTTCGTTATCATGAATTAATAATTACTTACTAATATATTTTAAGTTTTAGCTAATGAAAAAGAGACTTATATTTATCTTAAATTTTAAAAAATAATTGATTAATATTTTTAGCTAATTATGTGATTTTATGTGAATTTATAGAAAAAAATAAAATAAATTAAAAATTATAGATAAAGAAAGGACCTACTAATGCGGGACAAAGGGGCCCAAAATAGATCTTCTTAAAAGAAAAGAGCTACACAAGGGATGAGGACTTAATACTCAAACGATCCCACAATTTTAAGAGAATTACAATCATTAATTACCTATTAGGTTATCTAATTCAAAGAATCAAATAAGGTTTCTCAACTAGGATTAAGACCATCAATTGTTCACATGCAGGTGTGATCTTATGAATCTCATAAATTCTAAGAGCAAGGATTTAAAAATAATGACCAACTTCACAAGTAATTTAAAAATCAACACACCTTGTAATGGAGATTTTGGTATCTTGAAGATTTTGATTAGTTTAAGTGACTTGAAATCCACAAGCCTTGTTGGAGATTTTCCAATGGGTGATGATTCAAGAAAATAGGTGGTTTGAGCTGAGTAACTAAGGTACACAGAGTTTTTGGATAATTAAAATTATAAGAGCAAAAAAAAATGTAAAGGAAGAATAATAGAATAAAATAATGAGGAGAAATAAAAGGTGGGGAGAGGAAAAGGGGCGGAAGGAGAGGTTGTCGACGGGAGAGAGAGAGAGAGAGAGAGATAGAGAGAGAGAGGGACGTCGGCGGGAGAGAGAGAGAGAGAGAGAGTGAGAGAAAGAAAATGATGGGGTACGTGGCGACGACGGGAGAGAGAGGGAAGAGGGTTTCAGCGGGAGAGAGAGAAAGGGACGTTCTCGTGGTGAAGGAGAAAAAAAGCTGGTGGAATGAAGGCGTCAGCAGGAGAGGGAAAAGGGATCTCGTGGCGGCAGCAGGAGAGAGGGAGAAGGGATCTCGTGGCGGCAGCAGGAGAGAGAAAAGGAGAGGGTTTCTGACGGCGAGGAGATGAAGTGTCGGCGATGGGGCGGACGGCAAGGAGCCCGAGTGACGGCGAGGGGCGGAAGGCGAGGAGACATGACGACGGCAACGGGGCAGACGGCGAGGAGGCAGGACGACGGCGACAGGATGGCTGGCGAGAAGGAGGGTGGCGGTCATGGGCGGACGACAAGGATGCGGGAATGGCGACGACGGGGCGGATAAGGCGGAAGAGGAACGACGGCGTCGGGGTGAATAACGAGGAGGTGGAATGGTGGTGGTGGGGCACATTGCGAGGACGACGTGACGAGGAAGAAATGGAGGTCCCCCTGATCCAAGAGGGTGAGAAGAAAAGAAGAAGCCCCTAGTCCAAGAGGCGATGAAAGGAGAGAGGAACCCTCAGTCCAAGGGGCGAATGAGGCAGAAGAAACCCCTAATCCATGAGGTGAGAGGGATAACACGAATCTTCTTGATTCTAAATTCAATTTCAACTTTTTTTTTTCAGTATTCTTGAGTTTGGATATTTATAAGAAATAGAGGACGGTAGTTAGAGGCGTCCCCTCCCAAAGGATGCCAAGCGGTCTCTTGGAGGGAGAAATGACTTCCTTAGGGGAGAAGGGGTACATGAGTGACATGGCCTCTTCTCCTCCCTCTTCTTCCTCTTCGTGGGTCCACCTAAGGGAATGAACACTCATATTGATTCCATCACCTACAAGCCAGCCAAACACATAAGTGGGTTGGAAGCATAGTTGAGGGACTTACTGGCCAACCGAGCCCACATGCAGGTTGGAGGCACAGTCGAGTAGAGCCACCACGAGCCAAGGGCTTGGGTAGCTAAGGATGGGTTGGGGCATGTGTGTGCCACTCCCTTTCCACATCATTGGTGGCTAATTGGGTGTGGGACAAGGCGTGATCGTACACATGTGAGAGAGAGTATATTGATGGCAAAAAGAGATATTACTATATATGCATCTCAAATAATATGTAACAACTAATGTGAGAATAAATTGACTTCATTAGTTTAAGGCAAATTTTGTACATTTTTATATCTATAATGTCTCTAATTTATAAGAACTAAGTACCCCATGACCTTACTTCATAAGGGCATGCATATAATTAGTTAACTCTCTTTTATGTAACCAAGTGACCAACAAGAATTTGAATCTTACTAGAGTTAAAATTCATATCTTTACTTTATTAAATCATGATCTTAACCCACAGTCGGTTAATACTTAAGTTGTCAAAATTACTTAATCATCAATAAAAATATTTTTAACTCAATTAGTAGAATATTGTTACACATTGTTAATAATTTTAGATAAAAAGATCATGAATCTATTGAGAGAATTATCTTTAATTGATTAACAAATGAGCCATCTTTGAGAAGAGGACAATCTGTCAAAAAATAAGTCATCACCTTTTGAGAGCATATTAGATGTAATAAATAGTTTATTATTCTTGTTGCCCTAACTTAAAGATAAAACTTTTTAAAATACACTCTACTTTCATCTAACTTAGGTGACAATCATTAAAAAATCAAAAGTTGTTAGATTTTTATTTCACTAAGTGATAGTCACCAAAGATGATTTATCATCTTATTATTAATTTTTAGACTTCATAAGAAGATTTAAAGATTGTCCACATATTTAAAAAAACTCATTGAGGTCGTGAACATCATATGATAATCATCCTAAACATAAAATTTTAACGATGTCAATTACAAAGATAGAACTCTATCTTCCTTATTTTAAATATACTTTTTATTCAAATTAGTAAGATTTTATGTGATTTAAATTTAAAAATCTTCTTCCTTCAATTAGATTCTTCTAATATTTACAAATCTTAATTTGATCAATTAAATTCTTTTAATCAATTACATAAGAATCACAAGGTAGAACTTTGTTTTTCCTAAATCACATTTGTAAGGGGACTAACATCATCCTAATATCTACACCTAAACTTATCGTTTCAGTAAATTTTTAAATATATTTTATCTTCATCATTTAGTCTAAAAATTATAAAAAATTATATTCTTTGAAGAAAAATTAGAATATCTTGGAAAATATTATCTTACATCCTTGTGATCAATTTAGAGATTTTCTATTATTTTTGGAACCTTTTGGTGAATTATAATTTAATTATTTATGCTTAAATATTTTTAAATTTTAAATATTAATATCTTTACATTTTATAAATTTAAATTTCTATGATTTATTAGAAAATAATTGGGTCACATCAATGGCCCTCTATAGAAAAGATTCTATATTCCATAAAAATTGACAAGTCTCTCTCATCTCGATCTATTGTACAAAGTGTCTAGTTAGTCAATCCATAGTGTAGACTTTTTGTTTGACATCTAACAAATTGTTGATGCTTGTTGAGAGAGTTCTTATGCTAGTGGTAAACTCTCTACAGCTTAGGATATCTACAATAATATTGATATGTCGATTTATATCGAACTAAGAAATCATATTTAACTAAAAAATTATGTCACTGTGTTTGTTTGGGGGTTAACTTCTTTTGAGAGTTGAAGTAAATAGTGGTGACATTGTTGGTGTAGAAGACAAAAGCATTGTCTAATAAATAGTGGTGTCATACTAATAAGTAATAAATTATTGTCATTTCCCTCTCATGGACTGAGTATCATTGTTCTATATTAATCAATTTCCCTCTTTGAAAATTAATAAAGTGACCACTCTACATGAGAATTA